GGGAGCATAAGCTTTCGTGGGTAAGAACCTCACTTCTTCAGATGCAACCTCACTTCTTCTTGCATCTGAAGAAGTGAGGTTCTTACCCACGAAAGCTTATGCTCCCAATACTTCTGTTAGTCTTAAAGGTGCCACAGGACCCTCTGTTGCTTTTTACAGATTCAGACTAACACGGCTACCCCTCTGATACATGAACTAGAGCATTGTTCTACATAAACACCAACACAGTGTCTACAATACTTTTTCTTCTCCATGAGTGTCTCTGGGTATATACATTGCAGGTTACCACAAATATGTTTTTCTTCAAGACTGAATGACAAGAAATGTTTTAATTTATGCAGCTAAATTTTGTAGTACTTTTTTCATGGATCTTAGTCTTTTCCACACTGCTTTACCACAGAGAGGAAACATATGGCCCTTAATGACTTACCAGTTGATAACATAAGAATGGGTCCGACCATACTGGGTCCATCTTCTAGCCTATTATCTTGTCTCCCAAAAGTGGCCAATGCCAGATGCTTCAAAGGGAATGAACAGAACAGGACAATCATCAAGAGATCCATCCCCTGTTGTTCAGTCCCAGCCTCTGGCAGTCAGAGGCTAGGGACACCCAAGAGCATGGGATTGCATCCCTGACCATCTCGGCTAACAGCCACCGAGGGATCTAACCTCCATGAACTTATCTAATTTATTTTAACCTAGTTATAGACTTGGCCTTCACAGCATCCCCTGGCAATGTGTTCCACAGACTGACTGTGTGTTGTGTGAATTACTGCCTTTTGTTTGTTTTAAGCCTGCTGCCTATTAACCTCATCGGGTGACTCCTGGCTTTTGTGTTATGTGAAGGGGTAAATAACACTTCCCTATTCACTTTTCCCCCACACCATTCATGATTTTATACACCTCTATGATATCCCACCCCCGTCATCTCTTTTCCAAGCTGAACAGTCTCAATGTTCCATACCTCTAATAATTTTTATTGCCCTCGCTGTACCTTTTTCTATTTCTAATATACTTTTTCTGAAAAGGTATTACTTATTACTGAGTTTTCTATTTTTAAGGGTGAAATCAGGCAAAGAACCCAGACTAAACTTTACAATGGAACCAATATTTAAGCGTGGAACAGAATACTGTACAGTCAATATCTAATGAAACAGTGGACTGCTGACTCGTCAGTGACTAATGCTACTGAAAGTATCTTTTGAAACATATCGTCTTTATGGCTAGCAGCAGTGACACTCAGTTGTCTAAACATTTATCTGTGTTTATCCATTAAAATACCTTGATTCCATAGTATTGGGAATGAATTAATTCTCAATGGAGATTCCCACTGATGTGTCAATTCCAGATAAATTTCTCATTTAATACAAATTGAGGCCTCAATTCTGCAAGTGGCTCTGCAGAGTCCGGTTCTGTAGACACATCAGATTTAGTTGTTGCAACCATAAATCATCTCAGCGATGAAACAAGAAGTCTTCAAGAGAAGAAGGGCTATTCCAAAATGAAGAATTCATTCCATTTTTTTAAAAATGCTTACCAAAAATACAAATAAAAAAAGCAACTGCAACAGGCTTTTTATATGGAAGCATTAATTCCATCAACAGAATAAAATCCCATGGGATTACACTGACTGGCTCCTAGAAACAAACAGTACAAATAGTTTCAAAGAGTGAATGCGTCAGGTTAAAAAAAAAAAAAAAAGGTATGTCTTTGGAAAATAGGAACTGAACAAGCTGATTAGAACTGGCATACGCCACAGGGCTTAACAGTTACCCTTGCCTGGGCTCTTTTGAGAGGTCTTCTGAAACTATTATGGTTTGCCATTACGCTGCACATTAGTGGATACCAGCTGCAATAGCATAGTATACGAAGGCAGAGTATGACACAACATATGCCGATGAAGTAAATAAAAATGAGAGACATTTCTGCCTTTCCCCTTGACTTTCACTCTCTCTTTGGAGATGGATTTTTGAATTTTTATGGGTGTGGTATTATAGGAGGAAATATTTTTTTTTACATCCAATTGGTGAATGCTAACATAAATAAAATGAGATGTACATAAAAATATTTAAAATCTTGATTAAAAATTTAAAAGAAAGAAATATACTATAGGCACATTTCCAGGACTAAACAAGCATATTCACAATCATTTAAGGTACCATGAAATAGCCACTGAGACAAAATACAACATATGTTTTTGAATAGATGACTTTCCTCTCAGAGTTGCAATAAAAATGACTAGGAGGGAGGAGTATGTCCAGACTGCTTTGCAAAAAAGAAAAAATTCTCTTAATAAATTCTAAATGGAGAGCCATAAATCTTTTTCAAAGCTCCACTAGATGAAGTGACATAGTATGTGCACCTGCAAAAGCTGTCAAAGTCATTTAAGAAAACCTTCCATTACTGATGAACCCTGCTGTTTGGAGTTATTTAAGCTTTTAATTTCTGTCTTTTCTGCATTTTGAAGTGTGCACACTTTTTATACCATTTCATAAAAAAAGGGACAGACCTTTGTTTCCTTCCTGATCAGAGTTCTAATAAACAGATCTCTTAAATTCATTACCAGAAAAAAACAAGATCGTAACCCTCCTTTCTTGCTGCACCAAAACTTTATAAAGACTTAATAAACTGTTGTCATAATTTGCTTTATAAAGCAAGTAAAACTTCCTACAATTACTAAACTCATATGGCTCCTTCCAGTTGGTACTGTTTATATAATAAATTTAATAATAAAATCTTCATAAAATTTATATATATATATATATATACACACACACACACACACACACACGTTTCATGCAGTCTACATTTTTCTTATTTTACTTATAAGAGTAAAGTGAAGGTTTCTCTGATAGATATCCTCACCTCTTCTGGCTCACACAAATTATTAACTATGTTATCTTTTCCTTCCTATCTGTGAAATATAGTGTAAATTCCACAAAGAAACAATTTAAGAAATGATCAGTTGGTGGCCTTCATAAGCCACTTCATTGAACCACCCCGTCAAGCTTAACTGGCCTGTACAGAAGCTATGGGAAAGAAGCAATTGTAGCCAGTGCGGGGATGAGTTCAGAGACCCATCTTCAACCCCCAGACGGCATCCTGGTGCCTGATGATGTCACTATAGCATGGGCCATTCACCTATCCTGGAGCCTCTATGGAGCACTGGAATTGGTGGGCTGGTGACATATCTGTGATGCTGTTGCTTCTTCCCTACTGTCAAGACATGTTTCCTTTCATCATTAATATATGTTATTTTAATAAGATTATGACTGCTTAGCCATAATTTTCACAACTCTGTCTTCTCTGGTCTTTGCTTTTTTGGAAAACCTCCATCTTTACAAGGTTTGCTGTCTAGAGGACTGAGGTGGATGCTGGCAACTGTGAATAAAGGGAAGGTTATAGCAGCAACTATAAATATGGACAGAACCAAATAAAATGAGGAAAGTTACAAAAGGAAAAAAGTTCTCTTACATATGATAGTGGTTTCATAAACTTGCTATGATGGCCCCAAAATCTCAAATATG